GGGGGGACAGGGGAAGATCGGGTCATTCAACCGTCCAGCACTGGCCCATGCATGCGCGAACTTCTGTCAGAGTGGGCGGATTTTGTCGCTCCTGTACCGACCTAGGAAGGACTCATTTACTTCCATTCCATAATCACCTTCGCGTCATGTCAGTCATCAGGAGGTAGATTTTGGCTTTAATATGGCATATAACTTGGCACTTGGGACACGATAGCGTCCACGTCTTGCTCAACAAGTGGCCATATCTCGTGTACTGATCTCGCGACCTCCAAACTCGCACATGAGTCGCAGAACGGGATCGGAGTCTGCAGCTTCTTGAATACGATCATAAAATTCAGTATACCACTAGACGATGCACGCCGGACGTTGCCCCGGAACCCATTCCCGGGCATCAGCGCCTGCAATGCGCGCGCGACTGCTAATATCCAGCACGGACTTTGATCATCGCTATTATCGCTCGATGCCGTGAGGCATTGTGGATGTGCGGAATCCCCCAGAGATCTAGCCTTGCGCGTCCACCATACTTGATCTAGAATAACAGCATTCACGGCTTGGATGCAATGTCGTTGATATTCGAGTAGCCGGAAGTAGATTCCAGCGGACGCTCGCTCCATCTCGGGAGATCTATCGTGCTGTAGCAGTAGCCCCCGGTCCAATCTTGCGGCTTCGATCGCTTGCTCCTGAAGGCCGAAACGACAAGCAATGAAGTATGCCGATAGCGGATCTTCCTCGCCCAAACACGTAAAGCGTTTTAGCAATGTCTGAGCAACTCCGTTCATCTTGTACTTCCTTGCCGCTGCAAAAATGGCCGCCCACTGATCGATTCTGCCCATCGTCGCCTCTCCTGTGGCGGACTCGTGCACAGGATAGGCTAGCTGCAGGAGGTTGAAGAGGGTTGCTCCGTCTTCGAGTAAGGGTATGATCGGTAGACCGCATCTCCTCTCCTCGCAAACACTCCGAGTCGCGAGTAGTTCTCCGAGAACAGTGGATATCATCGAGATGATCACAGTATGCACTCGGAAGTCCATCAAATCGGCGGAACGGAGTATCACATCCGCATTACTCATATCGAATGGACTTGGTGCGTCGATGATCTCCTTGGGTTCTCCTTGTCATTTTCTCGAAATTACATCGGGCCCATTGCCATAGCAAAAAGATTCGGTAGGATCGCCGAATTCATTCAGCTCACAAAATTGGAGTAAGCGGTTGTATTGACCAGCCATAATGTCTTCCAGTTCTGGAACAAAGCTCGATTGACACTCTTGACGACGGACCTCCTCAGCGGCAGCGCGAGCGACATCTTCCAGATTCTGATGGCATGCAATAGCATAAACTCGCAGTGGTGCGGTAGGTATATGCATCCGCAGCAGCACCTTCACGAGTTCTGCGGCCTCGGTCATGTCATATTTGATGGCCGCTTGGAGAGTAGCACGGATGTCTTCAAGATTGCTCCAGGTGGGGTCGCTTACAGGGTAGCATAGTCGGAGCAAATTCAATAGAACAGTGCTGTGTTGCGGAATGAGGATTACTGGCATCCCGTCCGACATCTCTTGTTAAACAATTTGGTTCTCTCTACTGGACACTTCATATGCCTGAGGTAGAGAAAACGTGTTCTCAAAGAAGGCGGACGATTCGGCCAGAATGACTTTGTGTACGCGGAATTCGACTTCATCGCACGACTTGAGTATCAGATCAGCGGATCGCTTAGTGAATGGATGGTTTGTCACGGGTTGCAGGCTAGATGTGTTTTGTACTTGAGTCTTCAGTCATCTCTGATTGAGATAAATCTGCGACATGGTGGTTGGTAAGAGTTTCTGCGGGGTGATCAAGTATTCTCGATGGTGCATGTAATACCGACCTGACAACTCGTTGGTGAGCAGGCGCCACGTCTCGGCTCTTCTATGAATAGATATCTGATCCTAGGTACCTGTCAGCAAGCACAGCCGCAAGTTGAAGAATTGAAGTGCCTAGCCGCAGAAGGACGTCCTGGTCTGAGACGCGGTGGCCGCGCGTCTCTTGAATCGCATCCACCCTTCGACTACCCTTCGACTCAGTTAACTTGATTACCTCTTCAATTGACCCCGACGCCGCCTGCAGTGTATTGCTCCTTTGAATCATCGCGTCATAGGTTTCTGATCTTGGGGAGTCTCATCCACTCGGACTCCGCAGTCAACATTGTCTTCAGGGTCATGACCTCTCCTCCGCCTCAGGAAATTCAAAGAATTAGTGAGGGTCTTCGTGAAATACGCATTGGCGACTCAAGAGATGACGTCCGTGCTCCTGATACCGAGCTCAATACATGGCAAGATCAGGTCCCGGAGTCCGTCGCTCGCGTGGAGCCGGAGGTTGAGCGGACACCACACCTTCCTGATCCTTCCTCAGTTAATTCATCGACGACGGCGGATTTTCATTCTGAGCTGGGGCAATCTCACACCCGTGCTAGTGAAGAAATCCTTCAGGAGTTCGATCCGCTCGCGAGCTCAGCGGAGAAAGCCACACGTGAGGCGTGGTCGAGTACATCCAAGAGCTCACTACCATCCATCTCTGGTGCGCCATCGAACTCTACCAGTACCCAGACTACCGCGGCTCAAATTTCGGAATTGTCTCCAAGCCCATCTGCGCCGACTGAATCCTCGTCGCCAGCTCCGACCTTCCCCGCCCTTGCTGCAATTGCACGCTCTTTCTCTCTGCCCCTAGGAAATCGTAGCCGACGTCCACGTTCTCTTGATGTTGCTACGGTCGTTCCATCACCCTCTACGCTCTCTTCCCTTGTTCAACAACAGCGAGCAGCCCCAGCTGGCACGGCCACGGGGACTGAAGGCAATGACGTTCTATCTTCTGGAGGAAGTGGGGGTAGCACACCAGGTATCTTGGAGCCAGAGAGGACTAAAGGAGGGGCTGCGGATAGCCCTCCCTTTGACTTCCAAAGGTTCCTGGACCAAATGAAGTTGAAGGGTGCAGAGCCTGTAGCGAAGTACCTCCGGTCGTATGTCAGTGTCATTTTACATGTGCGATATTCCATTGACAATGCCACACCGCGGCCGTTTCTTGTTCAACACATTTTTTTGGCTATTGACGCAACAGATTTCTGAGCAACTTTGCCAAGAGAACGTTCACCGTAAACGACCAAGTGAAACTCATCAACGATTTTCTCAACGTAAGTGCAATCTTGAGTCGAAGCAGTCGTGATGATTCACACTTGACATATCCAAAAGTTCATTTCAGACCGCATGCGTGAGACCGATATCTGGCGGAACGCATCAACTTCCGAATTCGACAATGCTATGGAAGGCATGGAGAAACTGGTTATGAATAGGTTATATGACTTGTGCGTCATGTTGAGAACGTAACGTCTCGGACCCTGATTCTGACCCTGTCAACATAAGTACATTCACCCCTCAAGTCGTGCGCATGGTGCCTCCTCGCCCAGTCACAGTCGACGATCTGGAAAAAGATCATGTACTCTCACAGCGTATTGCACTTTTCCAGTGGATTCAACCGAAACACCTGGACGTACTTGAGGGGGAGGGAAGCGAGGGCTTCCTCCTCTTTGCGCAACAAGGTTCGTGTCTAGCATTATCTGCAACAATTGCCATGCCATTCACGAATTGATTCATACATGTCCGCCATATTTCGTTGATATAACTGTATGGGACCCGACAGAACTCATCAAGGTCAATCATTACAAAGCGCCGCGGGACAAACTTATTTGCATCTTGAACTGTTGCAAGGTCATATTTGGTCCGCTGTCCGTCTGCTCACTCCGAGTCTTCGCGCTGATTTGAGAATTGCTCCGTCTGCTTATAACCTATTTGTAGGTATGATCCGACATTTGCGAATGGAGGAGAATGCGGACGCCTTTGTTCCTATCTTGATATACGTGGTTCTGAAAGCGAATCCTCCACATCTGTTGTCAAATGTCGAGTGAGAGACGATGTTATGTAATCATGGATAGCACAACTGATTGCACGTAGGTTTATCAGCCGCTTTCGAAATCCTGCAAAACTGCAAAGTGAAGCGGGCTACTATTTGAGCAGTCTCGTAAGCGTCTAGATTCTGAGCTATTCCTGTGTGCTCATTGTAGCAGATGGGTGCCGTGTCTTTCATAGAGACGATGGACCATACGTCATTATCTAGTATCACACAGGAGGAATTCGAGCGGTATGGGGTTTTCATTCATCCATAAACATCACGCACTGAATTTCTGTATCCAGGAATGTCGAAGAAGTCATCCAATCTCTTTCAAGCACTGAACCTACGACACCTGAATCAGCTACTCCATCCATGGCCAGGTCGCAAACGCCGACGACAAGCAGTGCATCGTCATCTCACTCAGGAGAAGAGTCTGCTCAGCTGTTGGCCCTTCCTACACCAGCTCAAGCCTTCGGTCAAGACGCCCGCCGCTTCTTGCAGAAAACAGGCGATACATTCTCGAAGCCGCTCAGCGCAATTAGCCGCATATTCAATGAGGTCTTGGACAATGCAGAGGAGTCACTTTCGTCATTCGCACCTGTAGATGCTGCTCGGAGCGAACAGCAGCGTCGGCAACAGATCGAAGAAGACCGTCGGCTCGCACAGACGCTTGGGCTTGCAGAAACGCAGGCATCGTATGCAGGGAATAGTCAGCAATCAGGCGGATATAGTACTCCTTATCAAACGCGAGTCCGTCGTGTTCCAACCCCGGTTTCACCATCGCCTTCCATGGATTCCTTCCGCTTCGGTTCCTCTGCAGGGCCAGAGATTCCTGCTCGGCAACGTACTGTATCCAATATCGACCAGCGTTCAACGATGAGCGCGTCGCAGAGCGCCTCTGCCATTCGATCCAGGCCTGGCTCTCAAGATCTCCGACCACAGTCTGCACATGTCTCTCGGACGCCCACGCCGAGCCTGGACTTGGTAGGGCTGCAGGATGAGATTGACCGTGCGCACGAGAGAGCAGCCGTTGCAGCCCGGGAAACCCTAAAGCAGATCTTCCCGACTACCGATCCTGAGATTATGGAATGGGTGCTGGAGGCCAACGAGGGGGACCTCGGGAAGAGCATCGAGGCCCTTTTGGAGATGAATAGTGGGACATAATCTTGCGACTTGGAGTCCGCGCCTATGGGTTTACAATGATCCTTGCGGGCCTGACAGTGGAAGAGGCTGTTTAATTGCATCATTGCGATCATATCGCTCGTTCGCAGGTATTATTGCATGCGTGATCCGTAGCAAGGCTTCTTACCCGCGATTTCTGTGTATCTTGCTAGACGAATGACAACACTTCAAATCGCTTTAACGTTGGAGTTCGGCGGTTGCCCAGTCCTTCCTTGCTAGGAGTAAGATTTCATAGGCATGTTCAGCATGCTTAAGATCGGGCTCGTTACAAATTAGTCTGGCCGCCCTCAGCGTCCAGCTGCTCCATAGGACGGGATGAGCGGCTGGTCAGTTCAATTGAACTGCCAGCCTCGGCGCACTTTCTTACGGGCTTTGACAGTCGGTCTATGGTACATTTTTCTTCGCTTCCCACCACAACATGACAAGTCTCGCGGCCTCCAAGATTGCGTTCTGTGACAATCCAGCATGCGTCACGTGGAAGACGGCAGAGATTCCACTCAAGATGTGTTCGAGGTTGTGGAACGATGGACTATCACTAATGCGTAAAATCTGTCATCGTTCAGTCAAGCTGGTCTTTGATTGATTGTCCGTCAGTCCAAGGAGTGCCAAAAGTTGGCGTGGCCTGCGCACGTAGAGCAATGCAAAGCGCTGCAAGCCGCTAGATGCAAGCTGCGATGTGCTCAACACCATAACCTGTGGGCATATATACACCGCTGGGCTACACGTAATCGCACTCCTCTCTACAATGCCTTGCTCGCTGCAGTGTATCTCAGCGAGAGCGCCGAAGCGCACAAGCAGTTCCTCCTTGTAGTCAAATTGCACTATTCCCCCTCAGCAAAGCACCTTCGGCAGTGTCTCATACTGAAGAGTGCCTCCAAACTGTTGTGGAGCGAGATGAAGAGTTTCGGCAGCGCCTGGATGCGGGAGAAACTCTCCATCATATGCGCTAAACGAGAGCAACCCGAGAGCATCATGAATTCGCCTCAAGGCAGTTTATCTTTGGCTTCGGCATGGTCCTTCTAGCGGTCGATCTCAAACATACGGGATGACTGTTCATGGATATCCCCTACCGCATTCAGATTACATATGTCTCACAAGTTGCCCATGATCCCTCTGGTTGGGGTACCGTCCTAAAACATCATTTGGACTGGGATGCGGCAGGCAAGAGGAAGAGCCAAGAAAATTAGAAATAACTTCCCAAGGAGGCCATGTTCACCGGGAGCCGACTCTCTTGTAGATCATTGTGCAGTTGATGTAATCATAGCATTTTCCTGTGAACTCACATTGTATAGAGGTCTCAGAACGTAATTAGAATCCCTACGCTCGCAGAAGATCTTCTTCCCTGGGCTCCAAACGGCATCTGCAGTCACATTAGGGATGATCCACTAAAATTTGAAGTACTACAGGCTACAGCATGGGCCTAGAATGAACCTCAAGTAGATTCGTTTCCATGTGGATTTGTAGGCTAGTTGAACTGCTAGATATGGGAGTTCGACCCGATTGTAGCACAAATCACTGAGAACGCAGTGCTATGCACATGAATGGCATCAAAATTCCGCCTACCCGGGAGTACGGCGGGATGTCAATATTATGTCAACTTTTGTCGTGATTCCGCGAGGCGAGTCTGAGCGACGATCCCGCTGGCCTTCCTGGCCAAGCACGGCGCAAGAGGAACAGCCGACAAGTTATCGGCTTCCTGCAACTGTAGCATGACTCTGATGCTTGCTGTTTGCTGTAAAATGCTGGAGAACACTTCCGAGCGGTACTGAATGATGACTATAACTGACAGTTTCTCCTGTCGTTGGGCATGATGCTCTCCATACGATCATTTAGCCAGCATGGCTCGTTGTCGCCGCGATGCAAAACAGTCGCAAGGACAGTCCTATCCTCCTGAGCCTTAAGAGACGGTAGAGGGCTGCGACATGCAGCATTAGCTGCTCCATCTCAGGAGCGAAGTTACTCGCCTCCAGTTCAATATTCATCTGAGCACCAAGGGACGTTAGCGCGACAATTGTCTTACGGAACACCGATGACCTGTACCGTAGGGAAATTGATCTGTAGGTCGAGAAAAACTGAACATTTCCACAATTCCGCAAACACGGAGGGGGTTATTGCGAGGATGGCTCTATAGACGCGGAACAGGGTACGAACGCACGAGCGAAGTGTCGCGTCAGTGTCGGATCCTCGGAACAGAGACGTAACAATATCAGCGGAAGGGCTCTCCTGGCCTATGCCTCGGCAACTTTCCATCATAAAAAAACCAATCAACGACTCGAATTCGGATAGCTGTATTGGATGGATGGGTCACAAGTACATTTAGCTAAAAAGTTGAGAGAGGAACATCGACCGCACACTCAGCGCTATGTGACTCTCATGTCAGCATTCAGTGCTCTGCATGCGATCACGGCACAGATTTGATAAAAGAGTCGACATGATGCGTCGACGACCCTGCCTTGGGTGACTCTCGAGTCTCGACAGCTCAATAGATTGATCTTCGTCAGATGAATAGGCTGCCAACGTCAAGACAACAATTCACAACTTTGTTGATCAAATAGCTGCATTCTTGTCCATCCAGATGGTATTCGTCCAATGCCAGATTCCTATCTCGGCGCGGATCCGAAGAATCTGAAGAAACCGCAATGATCCTTGAACAGCATGCCAGTGTCAACCTGAAATCGCATATATTTGTGCTTGGTAAAGATGGAATCGATCAGATCAAAAAAATACTCACTTCCGCGATCGCTTTACCGATGACATCTTCAAACGCAGTCAACAAGCCTGTGACGAGGTTCGTCTTCTCACGACAAGAGCTGCAAGCGCTGGCGGTGTACTGACGAAGAAGCTCCCCGAGCACGGCATCACTCCTGGCCACAGAAGCATCTGGCAGGTCGGCCAAGAACTCTGCAGCTTTTGATACATACGCATGAACCCAATCCGGGCAAAACATGGTTGTTGAATTTGGCGTGAATGGCCTCAAATGTGTGCAGCGTGCACACGATGTTGCTTGAAGTTGATCATGCCACCGCGGCGATAGGCCAAATCGTAAATTGGTGGCAGATTGACAACAAGCCTTGTGATATGCCAAGAGGCGATAATAGGGACCCGCCTTCGCAATTTCCATGTAGTCGATATATGTGGTTAAGAGCTCATCTCTCTTTTTGGACAAAAGTGCTTTAGCGGCGAGTATGGTGGCGTCTCGATAATCATTAGATGATGCGATGAGGAATGATAGCAATGGATTGGATGAAGTGAACTTGAACCATTTCCCCCATAGGAGATCCACCGCCCTGTTCATTTTGTAGGCCTTAGCAGCGCAGAACACTGAGATCAAGATCGATTGATCGCTCAAGTCTGGCATGTTTGAAGGATAGCATAGCTGCAAAAGTGCTTTCGTCGTGCTGCTGTGTTCCGGTACGGTAAGGACCAAAGGCGTTTCTGCGGCATTGCCATCCGCATGCCGCCTTTTGTTGCTTTTGGCTTCAGACATTTTCTCTCGGAAGACAGGAGAGGCGAGGCTGATTACATCTCCGATTACTCGGAAGCGCACTTTGTCTGACGTGATGATCTCGACATCCGCAGCTTCATTGAATAGGTATGCCGAGCTGCGATCGTCCGATGAGATAGAAACCTTCGGTTTGCTGGGGTCTGCTTTCGTGGTCTGGCCACGGCAAAACTCGAACGAAGTCCTCTCCTCAGCAGTGATGCGCTCGTACTGTAACAGCCTATAATAGCAAGCAGCGGAGACATGTTCCAGTTCAGGAACGTACGAACCAGCTACAGCGCCCTTGGTGATCACCACGTCTGCCGCTTTTTTGGCGAGTTCCTCGAGACCATGTATGCATGCGACGGCAAAGACGCGTAGAGGCTTTGTGGAGATGAATTCCGACAATACCCGCTTCATATGATCCGTCACTACCACCATATCGTACTTGAGCGCGGCCTCGAGCGTATCGCGTGCGAGTTCCACAGAAGTGATGGGTGGATCTCTAACAGGATAGATGATCCGCAGGAGTGTATCGATCGCGGGACCCCTCTCCGTGACTGGCACCACCGGGAGAGCCTCTCCTTGGTGTGCCGGCTGTGGCAGACTGAACATGGACTCGAAGAAGGGAGAAGAGATTGCCAGAATGTTTCTGTGGACGTGAAAATCTGCACGATCGGCAGTACGAAGTATAACGTCCGCATCCGATCTAGTGAAGGGAGCGCGAACGATGTCGCTCGATGTCCATACATTGGAGTCGAACAATGCACTCGAGCGAGCCGACGACGCTGCGAATGACTCGATAACGATCGCTGCTGCCATCGTTCGTGTTCTTGAATTATCACACTAAGCGACGTATGAGATGTTTGCGATCGCGGCAGCTAGGGAGGCAAAGTTGGGGTTGGTTTGAGAATCCAGACAATGCGGCAGTAATGCGGCGTATGACACCGTATAACGATAACGCGTCACGTTTGATGGGCCACTGTCATGGTCACGATAGCTTTGCGTTGGGCGTGATTGCTTTGTGCCCAGTGCTGTCATCAAGAAAAATTAGAAACATAGTTGCGCACCCGTCATAAGTCCTCGTACGTCCTTAGAAGATAAATCAGACCTGTAAAAGTGATTATATGCCCCATCATCGAAGATACCGCCATGATACAGCGGGCATTACACTCTATTTAGGCGATTTTGCACGGCGTGCTGATTATTTCTTATACATATGCATATAGAGATTTCAGTTCACTAGACTGCAGTCAAGGCTTGAAGTACGCATCCTTGTCTGAGTCGTTCTCAGTTAGGTCTACAACTTTGAAGTCATAGGTCGCGAGATTCAACGTTGCCAAAATTTTCGTATGCATTGAAATATAAGGGTCATCACAACTCAATTAATGCATCGGGCAATGTCAACCAAGCGAACATTCCGTTCTTTATTTAAATATTGCAATGTGGAGTCATAGACTCTTAAATCCCCATCTTGTTACAAGGTGAGCAGGAAGCCAAACAGTAGACATCGTGTTCGATTTTCAGATGAGTGTCACCGATAATGACCCAGTCTGCCTTTCTTGCAGTTTCACCAAAGGTGGAACACAAAAGCAGCTAACACCCGGTCGCTGGAACCGCTGTCCGTATGGCAGTGACTCCGAAGGAATATCATTGATACTATATATTAAGCCTCAGATTAAGAACACGGAACGCGGGTGAGCGTCCGGGATGAAGGAGGATGCGGGATGATGCGGATCTTCCCGATATGGCATTCCTTTATATATACATGTACACATTTGGAAATATTATCTAATCCCTCAGCCACATTGGTCCGGACTCTCGTTTGTGAGGGCCTCGGTACCTCGGCTTGTCCCCGAGCCTCGGTCGTGAGGTTCGGCTTTCTCAACACTCCCCTGCAAGCCGATGGACATCCCAAGCAAGCGAGATAGCTTTTGATGCCGCGGTTTGGGGAGTGCTTTCGTAAAAATGTCCGCAATCATATCTTCAGTAGGACAATAAACAATATTAATACATCCCCTTTGTTGCTGTTTGCGCACATAATGATATTTCACATCAAAATGTTTGGAACGCGCATGAAACTGAGGATCTTTTGCAATTGCAATTGCAGAATTATTATCCTCATACAACAGGGTAGGTTGGGACTGATTGAAGCCTATTTGTTTAAATAAACTTCGCAGCCACATGGCTTCGCGGGCTGCTCCCGCAGATGCGATGTATTCTGCCTCGGTTGTAGACAATGCGACCGTGGTTTGCTTCTTGGCACTCCACGTTATCGTGCCTGATCTGAGGTGGAACACGAAGCCGGAGATGGATTTTCAATCGCGTACGTCATTTGCGTAATCAGCGTCGGAGAATCCATGGAAATACACACGATGCTCAGATTGAGCGCGTGTGTCGGCCTGATTTTCAAGGCCATAAGTTATTCCAGCATCGCGCGTTCCTGCGAGATATCGGAGCACGCATTTAGCAGCTGTCCAATGCGCTAACACTGGGTTTGCTGTGAACGAGCTGAGGCGTTGCACGGCAAATGCGATATCGGGACGGGTCGCTACAGCGGCATATATTAAGGAACCGATTAATGACGCATATGCGTTGCTTCGATCAGGCACGCTATCATCATTATCTTCTTCCTTCTCGAGCGTTATGTTCGGATCAAGAGGCATTCCAACGAAATTAGTGTTTGCTAATCCGTTTTTGAATAATAAAGCCTGTATGTATTGAGATTGAGAGATTTCAATCGTGCGTTTAGCGCGATCTCTCGTAATTTCAATACCAATGATCTTATGAGGTTCTCCTAAGTCGGTGACTTCAAACATATTTTGAAGTTCCTTTTTAAGGAGTCCCATAACGCTCAGATCATTGGTGAATAATAATAGATCGTCTACCCAAACGGTGACAATTTCTATTTTATTCCCTCGGATTCGGATGTATGCACATGGATCTGCGAGTAAACGTTTGAAACCCACGTTTAATAAACGTTGATTTAATTCAATATTCCACTCGCGACCTGCTTGTTTGAGTCCATACAAAGTTTTTCTAAGGCGACATACTCGATTTGTTCCATCGCTATATCCTTCGGGTTGGCACATATATATTTCCTCTTTAAGGGATCCATTCAGGTACACTCCTTTGACGTCCATTTGTTGGATTTCCCAATCGAGGACTGCTGCCAAGCTTAGGACTGCACGAATCGTTTCGAGATGCACAACTGGCGCAAAGGTCTCTGAGAAATACATTCCAGGAATCTGAGAGTACCCTTTCGCTACCAGACGTGCTTTATATTTGATTATTTCGCCTTCTTTGTTTGTCTTCTTGACAAGGACCCATCTGTTTCCGATAGGTTTGCGATCGGGAGGGAGATCTACGAGATCCCATGTTCTCATGTCATGCAATTGTCCAAGTTCAACTTGGACAGCCTTCTCCCAGCTTAGCCATTCAGAAGATTGCTTTGCATCAGCTAGTGTCTTTGGTTCATTCGCTTCCATGTTTCCGGAAGCGTTCATGGCTATATAGACAAGCTCTGCAAACGACGCTTGATCTGCAATGCGTTCAGCATTCACGCTCGGATCAAGATCACCGGCGCTCCGAGTTTCTTCCAGTTCCGGTGTGTCGTCATCTTCTGAGGACGGATCATCGGCACTCAGATCGTTCAGCAATCGATAATCTTGCCGAACGGTTCTTCTGCTCATCCTTCTGGGCTCAACAGGTGCGTCATATTCTCGTCTTTTTCTCTTCCGAGAATTTTGATCGCTTCCTCGAGCCGGATCAAGGTCTCGGGACGGATCATCACCTAATGCGAATATCTGCGCGTCGCTATTACTCTCGGACTCCCTCGCGCGCTGCGTATTCGCAGGCGGATGCGACTCCCCAAATGGAGAATCAGGTAACTCGGGTTCTAATGTAGGTAAGAAATGATAATTACGCGTTATTTTAATTTGACGCATTTTAGCATCATAATATCTAATTGCTTTGGGGCCGTCCATGTAACCAACAAAGATATGTTTGCTGGCTCGCGGCGCAAGCTTAGATAAGTTGAGTTCTTCATCAAGAACCCATATAATGCAACCGAACTCTCGAAGGTGAGTGATATTCAGTTTTTTATCATTCCATTTACCGTCCGGAGTGGTGCCATTCAGCGCACGTGTAGGCGCACGGTTTTTAATATAAACCGCATGGCGCACTGCTTCAGCTCATAGGAAACGAGGTAGAGCGTGGGTGAACAACATTGCACGTGCTAAAGAAAGCAATGTGTGGTTGAGACGCTCCGCAACGCCATTCTGGGGAGGAGAATATGGTGCAGTAGCACCAGTCTCAATTCTCTGAGAACGACACCAATCAGTTAGGTCTGAATTGAGGTAGTCACGTCCATTGTCCATTCGGATTATCCTCGGTTGATAACCGAATCGACGATCGAGGTACGTCATATATTCTTTGACCTTCTGAGAGGTCTCGTCCTTTGTTTTCATAAAAAGGACGACACTGCGACGTGTGGCATCATCAGTAAAAGTAATGTAGTATCGCCAACCTTGTAGAGCGGTCGTCGGAGCAGGTCCCCACATATCAGTATGTGTTAATTCACCGGAGATCTCACTTCTATGATCAGCGCTCTTCGGGTATGGCTTGCGGGAGAACTTCGCCTGGATGCACGCTTTGCACGTGAAATCGTCGGAGTTCGGAATGACAGCGAAGCCATCAACGAGTGATTCTCGATGAAGGCGCTTCAGCACATCTTTCCCGATATGGCCATAAATACGGTGCCACTCCGCCCATGTATGCGGAGCGTGTTCCTGCATTGCATAGGTGATGCTCGATGATTTAGGCAATGGTTGCACATTGTCAGTGAAATATAAATAGCCCTGACGTGTGGCAGTAGCCAACGTCTTCCCATTTTTATCAATGAGAATAGCCCTTTTATTTCCTGCAACAATGCGACCACCTGCAGCATCTAGCCGCCCAAATGAAATTAAGTGTGGCGTGCCTGCGGTGCATATAGCACATTATTGAGTCGGAATTGCACTTTCCGATCTCCAAATGTGCTTTCGAGATCTACAGAGCCACGGCCAACTGCCGCTAAGCTCCCCGGATTTAATCCGGAGATTGTATGATTCTTGAGCGCTTGATACGATGTGAAGATCTCGCGTCGGTTTGTGACATGCGAGGTCGTCGCTGTATCGGCAATCCACGAATAAAAGGAAGAAATATCTTCGTCAGAATTACCTAGGGATACAGTGTTCTGATCTTCGTTAGAATCATGCGCTACAAATGCGCGTTCTTTGCCCTTCGAGGATCCTTCACCCTTGTTGGTGCGATCCACTCTCTTCTGCCTCTTTTCGTCAGGTCTCTTCCACCACTGCGGCCACTGGCCTTCCTTTCCGCCTCCCTTAGCAAAGCATTCGGCTTTGGTGTGACGTGGCTTGCCGCAGTTAGAACAGACAATCGCGTTGTCTGAGGACTCAGCTTCAGCTCTGGGATCCTTCGGGCGCTCCGAAGGACGCTTCCTCTTCCCGTGAGCGACTATCATTGCTTGATCCGTTCCCGAGCTCAGATCGCAATCTTTGCGGCAGCGCCACTCATCGAGAACTATCCCGATGAGTTGTTGCACGGTTATGTTCCTCTTCCTCTCTCTCTCTCGCCTCTGTTCCTCCGTTTCCTCATCGTCACTATCGATGAGCTCACCTCGGAATCCGAAATAGGTGTCCGTGAACGTCTTCCAGCTATCGGGCAACGAGGTGACGATGACGTTACGAAATTGCTTGTCGTCAATCTCATTTCCCATGACATGTAGTTCTTCTCGGATCTTGCATAACTCCTTAATATGCTTCCCGATGTCATCTCCTTCACCCGCATATGTACGGTAGAGACGTCGAATGAGAGAATCGATACCGCTTTGTCCGCATTGCTCCTTAACCATGCGGAGTTTCTTCCACATGTCTCGAGCAGATGTCGCACCTGTCACATTCACAATCTGGTCGTTGCCGAGATTGATCGTGATAATGGTGCGCGCGGAACGGTCTTTCTTTTCCCATTCTTCGATCTCATCTTCGCGCGCTTGGATCTCTTCGGGGTCTCCGACGATTTGGATCTCGGGCTTCTTTTTCTTGCCCTTAATCCAGGGCAAGAGCCCTTTATCATCAAGGATGGCCTCCATCTTGGTCTTCCAGGGCATCCAAGTGTCTTCTTTTAGGGGCTCGATGCGCGGGTACGACGATCTCTCTTTCTCTTCAGCCATGTTGCCAAGTAATAATGTCAGAGTAGTCGATTGATAAGGTTCGAGGTTAATCTGAAAGCCCGGGGCTCATAACCTATTAAGCCTCAGATTAAGAACACGGAACGCGGGTGAGCGTCCGGGATGAAGGAGGATGTGGGATGATGCAGATCTTCCCGATATGGCATTGCTTTATATATACATGTACACATTTGGAAATATTATCTAATCCCTCAGCCACATTGGTCCGGACTCTTGTTTGTGAGGGCCTCGGTACCTCGGCTTGTCCCCGAGCCTCGGTTGTGAGGTTCGGCTTTCTCAACACTATACTTGCAGCATGCTTGCGTGCTCCGGATGATACCCGCCCTCGATCTGGACTCCATATCCTGCAAGAGAACATTTTAACACAGTGATTGAGATGGCTGCACTGATTGGGCGGGACTGCAGAGCAGAAGCCAAAGCAAGAGATACAGAACTTAAGCACTGCCATGTTTATGCACCATTCTGCAGGAGTAACTTGAGATTTTCCTTTGTTTAATACTTCTTTGCCACCCTGTGGTCAGATACCGAGCATGCTCTGTAAAGTTTGTGCGAGAAGTGCTTGTGAAGTACAATTGTTGGATCACAGTTTCTCTGTAATGATACAGCTTTAGCAAACAATCGGATAAAAATAATCCCCCCCCCCCAAAAAATAAAATAAAATGAAATAAAACCACAGCACCCAGGATTCCCGCGTGGTCCCCCACCGTGGTACTAACTAGGCGGCACTCTGGTTAACTGCGCAGATCGGACGGGATGCGGTGTTTTCAGAGTCCTATGGCCGTGGATGCCACATGTGGCTTTCAAAACCCTACATACTCATTCTTTCATCAGCTCAAGAAAGTTGCAGGGTGAATGAAATCAGTGTGCCAGTGTGGTGCACTTTCTAGAGGCTTCTGCTGTGACCTGTCTCGTCAGCAGTCATACGCCGAGAATCGAATGTAGTACTACTTGCTTTTGTAGTAGCGTAGCGGGAATGATGACGGCTCGATTGAAACTTAAAAGACTATGTGCTAGGAGTGGGCTCCTGACCTGCTTTCAGACACCGCGTAAGGCGTTGCTGAGTTCGAGACATGGTACATTTTGAGCAGTGAAAAGATGCTCGGAGAGAAAGACATGGCTTGCGAATTGTGATTGCGTCTCTTGAGTCGGGAACACGGACATCCTAAATATGATACCCTACGGTACTATGATGTTCTTCAGAATACTACCTTTCTGCATATGTCATGTGGAGGCTCTGCCACATAAGAACCAAGAACGTACAGTATGATTCCATATCGGATATTATCGTGCATCCTTGCAAGGAGTTAACTTGCTAGAGCGGCTCTCAGAAGCATGAATGCGATGCACGAACACGCGGCACTGTTAAAGAAAAAAAGGTGGCCTGCAACTTCAACAAGCACCGCCTACGAACCATAGCGCAGTTTGTACAACAGCGCGTATCACGTAGGCTTCACGAATAACATTTTCGTGTCGACCTGCAAATGGCGGAAGTCAGCCAGACTCAAAGCACAGTAAGCGTTGGACAAGCACACCTTCGCAACAGCCTCATCCACTGCCCGCTCAAAGACCGAGAAAAAGTCTAAGATTTTCCCAATGTGGCGGAGACATTGACTGCACTTCTCCAAGTCTCGTATTATTTCTTCGAGCATTGCCTTGTGGGCAATAGCGACAGCTGCAGAGGGTCAGTCTAAAAGCAGCGCAGCTGCTTTTGAGAAATAACACGTCAGCCACGTTGGGTTGGAATCCAGCCGCCAACGGCCGCACTGCGAACATGAGACAGTAGTCAGGGATATCCGCACGGAGGGTACTGCAACTTCCGGCGTAAAAAGTTCGGCGGCAGTCTCTCCGCATTTCTTATGATACTGTAGGAGACGATAGTAGGGACCTGCCATCGTAGACTCCATACATATAACGTATGTTGCAAGTAGCTCCTTTCGACTTCGCGTTCGAAGTAACCCAGCGGCATCCTTAGCTAGCTCCGTCCATTCATGGGACGATGCAATCAAGTATGATGTCAGCGCGTCCGACGGAGTTAAATCCGTGAATCGACGAGAGAGAAAAGAGATGGCTTTGCCCATCTCGTATCTCTTGGCAGCTGCGAGCACTGGTGCAAGTGACTGTGCGTCGTTCAATGTTGGAGTCTCCAGAGGATAGCAGCAACGTAGAAGCACATCGATCGTCTTGCTATCTTCTGGAACGGGCAGGATGAGTGAGCCATGGGCTTCATTCTTTCGTTCTGCAGCTTCCGATAGCATCGTCCGCCAGACAGGAGAGGCTAACTTCATGATTGCGCCCAGAGCTCTGAAGCGTACTCCGTCTGACGTGACAATATCGATGTCGGCGTGTGTATCATTGAAGGGAAACGAGGCATCGCGGTAGTGGGATGAATCCGACCGAAATCCCTGTTGCGTACCTTGATGGCCGCCTAAAACGTACCATACCGCGCGCCCCTGCTGACTCTGTACCAGCCTGCGGTAGCAGCCCGCAGAGATCGTCTCCAGCTCAGGAACGTACAGATCCGGCACAGCGTGCTGCGCGAGGACCTCCTTCGATGCCTGTCGTGCCAACGTTTCAAAACTATGCTTGCAGGCAATGGCGAAGACACGGAGGGGCATTTTCTTAATGAACATCGGCAACACGCGGTTTTTAACGTAATCGACGCCCGCATTCATGTCGTACTTCAGTGCGGCCTCGAGCGTAGAGCATGCGAGTTCGAAGGAGCTGATGTAGGGATCGGGGACGGGATAACAAATCCGGAGGAGTACGTCTAATGTCTTGTTGTTTTCCGTTACGTCGATCGCTTCCGGTGGACTGCTTGCGGGCTGAGGCAAACGGAACATGGTCTCGAAGAACGGTGAGGCGACTGTGAGGATGGCGCGGTGAACATGGAAATCAACGCCGTCCGATGAACGGAGCACAACGTCCGCGTCCGTTCTGTTGAAAGGGAAGCCTGCATGTTGAGTAGTCTTTGACGAGGGAGTAGAGCCGGTGGCCGCCATATCGATGAATGGACTTGAGGAGAACGACCAACCTATGGTGCAGATTCCGGCGGATATGTGCCGGCGGATTCCGCCGGATTTCTACCCCGAAAGTAAGGTGGCTCACCGACAATTTCTCGTAAGCTACATATGTTTTGGAGTGTCTAGCATGAAATCCTGTACATAGGTCGGACTTGAGACACGCTGAGCGCTTGTTGAGCAGGAAGCAGCTGATCAGGTGGCCACAACGTTCGCACGGAGGCTTGCAAGGATACATCTATGAAACAAGATACCTAAAAAGATACATGCCCATGCAACCGACATACGGACATACGCTAAAACACTATGTACGCTGCTGTATCGTATTAGAATTGAGGGTAGGACCGCCGACTGCCCAAGATATAAAACAAGTCCAGACACACACCAACATCGAAACGAAAGCGAATAACAACACCCCGCCGGCGCGCACGGTCGACCGTACGGGAATAGAGCAAGAGGGCGAGCCCAGTATTGGGAAATCGTAAACAATGTGCACATTAAGTTCAGGCCGTGTGAATGTAGTGGGGAAGTTCCGTGCGGCAATGCGAACATGAACATCGGGTTACCAATGCGGATATCGTAGCCGAATATGCATAAGAGAATAAGTGACGTTTGCTTGAGGTGGCAGAGATGAAAGGCACCGGCGGTATACCCAGCACATTATGTACAGTACATGGGTTGGTGGCACGAGGGGAATCATGCTGTCCCCGCGTTCCATATCGACCCGAGGAAGCCTCTCGCAGACGACATCATGTCGGTGGCACGTCCAACAAATGATACGTCCTGCTGGACATCCCCCGAGGACCGCGGCACGCGGTCTCGAGCGCGAGGAATGGGAATAGGACTTGTCACGGATGCTTGCACCCCCGTGGGTGAGACCGGCGAGGTCGACGAGCGACCATCAGCTTGCTCCTTGGATGGAGAAGGCGGTGCAGGCTTGACAGGTGCAGGCAAGACAGCATGCAACGCAGAGATGGGTGAGTTCGCCGGCGTCGGCTGCCGCGAGCGCTGCTCATCCTCTTCTGGTATGGGCGACGGCACGTTGAAAGGCGGAAGCTGTATGGTCGGTATAGGCGCAGATCGCGCATCACTTGTAGATGGTCGCACCATATCCACGTTAGCAGTCGACGACCCAGACACCGACGACGTTGGCAACACAGGCTCAACCTGCATCTGCGGGGCGTCCATCAGCGTCGGCGAATACAGCCGGTACTCCCCCTGCCTCCGCGTCGGCGACTCGACCGCGCTCGGCGGACTCAAGCTAGCTCCCAATAATCGCCCCGTCCGCTCTCGCCCGCGCTCCGTCTCATGACCATCCATCCGCCCACGTCTGCCCTCCCGTTCCCGTCCACGTGCGTGTACCCCGCCGCCCAGTGCGAGCGCAGAACCGGTAGGTGACAAACTACCCATCGGCGAATGCGTCCCATGACTCGAGCGCGAACCCGAGCGCTCGCGGTCCGAAATAGATGCTGCGCGTGAGAGCGAACGTCCCCGCGATTCGGAGCGGGAGTCAGTAGGACGCGGACAGCTGCCCGCCGCCGTCGGCGAGAGTAGTGCGGCATCAGAGCTCACGATTTGTGGGTGCGCGGTAGCGATCCAGGGCACAGGAACGGCGGGCGTCGACGTGTGGACGTATGTGGGCGCGCTGGTGGGGCTCTCACCGGCTCGATCTGCTAACGACGGACTGCCTTCACGCGAGCGCTCGTTCCGCTCCTCCATGGCCCCGTTCGCCTCATTCACCACCACGACAGGCCTCTTCTGAGGAGACGCAGGTGCGCTGCTACACCGGCCGGTCTGCACGCTCGCCGCGCCGCCCTCCGCATACCGTACCACGCGTGGCGCCGCGCTCTGCTCTTCACGGAAGCCGCTCCGTCCCCGCTGCCTCCGCGCATCCGAGCTCGACCACTCCTCCGAGTACTCCTCCACTGTGTGGCCGTCGAAATAATCGAACGTGTCCTCCATGGTGACATCTTGGAGATCGTCTGTGTGTGTCGGCGAGTCAACCTGTGGCATATGCGGAAACAGCGTCGGTCCATGCACGTCGCCTGAGGGCGATGTCTCAGGTCCGAGATGTGACGGGAGTGGGAGCACACCGACGGTCGGTATTTGAGGTGAGTCCATTGGCGAGCGCGCCTGCGGCGATGGACTCGTACCGACGCTGAAATAGGACTGATGGTGATGATACACTTCTTCGCCAGCGACGCTGGGCGACGTAGGCAAGCTATATCCACTATGCGATGGAGGCGCATACACGAGCTCAACCTCCTTCGTAGAGGACGCCACGCGCCCCTCATTGACAGATACGAGGTTATTGCCGACCCCAGTGGTCTTGAGGATAGTCGGCGCGATGGGAGCGATGGTGACGTGCTCGCTTGTCGAGGATTTGCGAGACATGGATGGGCAGAAACGCGGATGTGATAGTATTGATGCGTCCATGTCTGATGATAACTTCGGACGGGGCACGCTGGTCATGGAAGATGATCGCGAGCGCGATGAGCGCATCTCAATCACATCATCGTCATCATCGTCCGAATCCGAGGCGATTGCCGGCGAGCTAGACGGATAGTATGGCGAGGATGACTGCTCGTCATCATCATCGTACAGGACTTCCGTGTCCTCCTCGTACCTGGTTTGTTAAGATTTTTCAGTGTAGCTCAGTCCAATGAGTGAACGGGATACTGACCCGTCATCGTAGTGAAACACTGGCAATCCTCGGCGGCCGCCAGTGTTGGAGCGCTTCAAGTTAGGCTTCTCTATGGCGATGCACTGCTCCACGAATGTGTTGAAACTGATGTGCTTCTTCTTCAATCCGCCTCCCTCCGTGTGCGATCCGCTGCCTGCAGAGCTCTCGCCGCCACTGGAGTTCTCACTCAGCTCGCTACTCGTGGATTGGGACGTCTCGCTCGAAGCCGTGGCGGATAACGTGCTAAGCGCCACCGACGGCTCCCTCGATTTCGACGCAGATTCTTCAGCGATGATGCGCGGTGGAGAGTCTTTCCGATATGATCGGCCTCGCCTGCTGATATGCGTGTCGCTCTTCGTATGCAACAGCTGCGGCCGCTTCGGAGAGTGCTCCCCATCGTGTGCCTCGTCGTCGTCCTCCTCATCCTCCTCGGCTTCGTCGAACCAAGGACTGGATGGAAGAGATAACAGTTGGCCGATGCTGCGATGCTTCAAGATGGGTTTCCTGGGACCGGCAACAGGCGAGATTGCGGGCTTGCCAGTCGGTAATGCGCCTGTACTGTTCTGCCGTTGTCTGGGAGTCAGGCTATTCGAGCTATGTGACACCGGCAACCAGTCGGAGCCGACGTGTAGAGGCCCATACAACCATGTTACATCAGAGTCCTTCAGCCTAAAGGTAGTGTCAAAGAAGTCAGAACGAGCGCGTTATGTGAACATTGCAAATGTATGCAGATCGCATTAGGCTCAACCGCAGCGAACCAAGCGATCCATAAGAATCCGTGAGATTCCCCGGCGGGATTGCATCACCGCTATCAATCGCGGCAGCGTTGGGATTCATAGCGATAAGATACTCCTGAACACGCCATCGTGTAGCCGACGCGTCCTCCTAGTGAAATCTGCCGTCGCTATCAACGGGAACTTCACTTTGAGGAGTATTCGACGACGTTGCGACCTCCATCGAGTACCGATGCCTGAGGTGCCATGGAGATTGAGAACACGGGCCACACGCGATGTCACCGGACATCAGTGATCCACCTCTGCTGCAGCACTCTCAAAGATGCCGTCCTGATCCCCCTCAACGACGAAGCGTGCTCGCCGCGGGGACGTGGAGGCACAGCATCCTTCGCCCCCGTCGTGAAATGAAAAGAGACTGAGCAAATGCAGACACGTACCAATTGAGCGTCTCTGGACTGATGGTCTTCAACTTATTTCTCTGTTTCCACCAAGTGCGCCAACTCGCGTTCTCAAGACGCATGCCGTTCGCGATTGCGTTCTTCTGGCGTGTCATATTCCTCCATGACCGCCAAACGTCTTCTTCCCTCCACTCGTGAGATAAATAATCGACCTGACCCTCTGGAAGGGGAGAGTAGGAATTGTCATCAGGAGCACAGTTATGCGTGACGGAGGCCAGGAGGACAGGAAGATAGCTGGTGATGGTCGCAGGAACTGGCATCCTAGGATGCGGTGCAAAAAGGGGAAGAAGAGATGCCTGTCCGAGTACTGTTATACAGAAAAAGGCCAGAAGCGGTGCCGAGATGAGGTAGGGTCGGAGAGAGGCCGAGAAAGGCGACTAACAATACAGACAAGAGAGGACAAAAGCTGCAAAGCGCGGAAGCGGAGAGGGGGGATGTGGATGAGGTGAGAAAAGGTTTATGTCGAGAGACAAGACGGCATCAGAGGTGTTGGGAAAGAATGAAGGGACAGAAATGGATAGCAGTCGCCAGTGTGACGGCCTGTCCGCTTCGACCCGAGCGACGGGAAAATGCACGTGCCCCGCCATCTCAGCGTCGGGGCCAGATCATTTTCCCCCACCACCCGGCTTGCATCCAGCCTGCTCGCCCGGCCACGCCTCCTTAATCGCCTCCATCGCCTTCTCCATTCGTTTCTCACTCGCCATTCCTCCTAATTTTTTTCACCTTTCCATCGATGAGAGACGAGCGCAATTTTCTCGCCCCCCCCGATGGGCCCACCCTTTCCACGCACCGGCACGGTCCTCCAGTTTTCCCGAGATCCTGCCTCTGCGCGCCGACATCGCCTTATTCAGCCCTTTTTGGGTCTGGGACCCGCCCTCACAACAACCGCTCACGGATCATTCACGTTTCGCTGTGAACGCTCGCTTGAATCACAGCTTCTGGCTTCTGATGACCACCTGCGATGCTCGCAATGCTTCCCTCAGGCTCTCAGGCCCGTCCTCTGACGAACCAATCCGCATTCAGCCTCGAGTCAGCCGGCACTCACCCCGGACTCTGCACGACACAGCCCAGAGTGGAGTGAAGCAAACAGCGAGCGACACAGTCATTTGACTCCCATCTCGGAACGCACGACACCGCCGGATCTTGTCCGGCCATCTTCTCGACGCGTCTCCGCTGATCCTACGTGCTGACGCGCGCTCGCACTCAATCTCACTCTATCTGCGTCCTGTCAATGTGACCCGCGTTTCGGAGAACTGCGATCTCTTTTGAACTTGACGACTTCCCCGCCGAGCGTTCTTTCAGCTGGCAATCATTTCTTACGTCCTCCTCACCCTCCTTCCGCGCTGCAGCCGACTCACGGGTTATATGCGCCCGTTGCTCGCTCTCATGTTCCTCCGTCGTGACTGTCGCCGCGCAATGGAACCCGCTTGACCAGTGGTTGTCCTGGCAAGAAGACAGCCGAGTCACAACTATTGCTGCCTTAACACACGCCCAGCATGACGCCTGTCTTCGCTCTCTGCCCTGCCCAACACGCAGCCCATTGGAATTTCGTAATGTGCGTCGGGGAATCTCGTAACAGCGCTCATGATTTCATCTTGTCCACAGCAGTTGCACCGCTCAGTGTGGGGATGCGGGGTGATAGGCACCCCGGCTTGCAAACGTGCCGAAATGCGCTGCACGTGCGCGTTTCCCGCCCACACGACCTATTCATGTACGTACGCTAGTGTCGCCCTCGTTGATGCTGGTATCACCTGGAGCCACGGTTACGACGTCGTTTCATTTCCAGTTGTGATGCGCTCGTTCTCGATGCGGGGAAGCTGCCCCATGGCACCGGATCTCCTTGGCATGACCACAGCCGAACAAGTTGATGCAACGCAGACGGGCTTTTTCTCGGATCCTCGACGGCACGCCGGTGTCTGCTCCGCACGGCAAATGGAGGTGTCCTCAACCGGAAGTAGAGTGGCCTGATATCGGGTGGCGTCGAGCTCCGAGCCGCGTCATCGAGACGGTGGTACAAGGTAGCTCGACATGATGTTACGTGCACGGAGTTGAGGTGCCCATGGGACCAGAGTGTGGTTCGTGAGAATCACATGGGACAAGTTGTGTGGTTCGATGGTCGTGCTAGGGTTATGTAGGCGGTGAGTGACCACGAATCCCGTTAGTAGGCATCCTCACATAACCAATGATGGACTTATTCAGCCTGATAGCTAGCCAATGAGCTGCATACGACGATGTGCCGCAACCGGTTTGAGGGGTTAATCCGCAATTAGCTGCTCTCGACCCATACGAAAGGTCCTCCGGAAAAAAGCGATGTGCCACAATGTGAACGTTCACCTGCGCATTCCATGCGTCCCCTTTGTGCTGACTGCGCAACGGACACGATCCTCCGTATTGGAGCAACCTGTGATTTCAGTTCGTATTGGGAGTTTTGACTTCGAGGTGCCATATAGGAGAGTCGGAAATGGAGATCACGTGCAAGGTGACGGGCAGAGGGCTTGGGTCTCAGCTTGCGTGTTGAGATGATCTGCGATCACTGAGTAGGGCATGGTGCGAGGATCACGCTCGGTGAGTGATCTGTCGAGTGTCAGCGCGGTTCTTATATGACCGTGAATGCAGTGAATGGCAGAATTCAAACAACGATGTGCTGCAACATGGCCTGTTCGTTCGTCATTGTCCCTTAATCTCGGGAATGGCTGCGCACGTCTTCACCCCGGGATCGTGCTATGCCTACAGCTTCCAGCCAAAATGTGCATTTTATCGTGGTAGGCTCAATGTTTTGCATGATCATCATGCAATCGCGTGATAACGCAGTGGAGCACCTCGCTACCATGTTTCTTGACTTTAACCAGTGCAGACCACAAAGCTGAAGCGCTATCTTTATGGATTCAATTATTCTTGTCATTATCCATCTGCAAAGTGGATATGTCTGTAGGGCTTACAGAGCACTACATTGCGATACGTATTCTTCATTCTTCCGCATACATAGTCATGCCCAGTCTGCAGATATCGTATGGTCATCTGATGGGATATATCTCCGAGTCTACCGCAGCAAGCTCCATTCGGCGTTTCCATACTTGGTGAAGCTCATTTCCGTTCATCTAATGGTGTAATTAGCCTCGAAATCGTGGACACTGGCCGATGAAGATGCGGAGATCCCAGAAGTGCTTATTCACGCTTGCTACGGTATGCCGCCGGAAATACCGTGCCTGTATGCGTCGTCTCTATCTTTGCTGGAGACGCTATGGCGACCACCCGCGGAGTACGTCTGGACACAGTCTCTCTCTACACGCAGAGCACCTTCGACATAGAGGTGAGAGATCCGGCGAGGAATCATGCACATGGGCGAGACGAGCGATGGCCGAAAGCGACGCGGGAGATCGCAGCATTGCATCGTTTATACGTTGCAGCATTGGAATAACTGCAGTTACACTAATTCTCACGGCTGCTCCAGTGTCAATACGGAGATGGCGATGTAGAGGATACCATGTTCGGGTTCTGCACTCTGCACAGTCCAGATGCCTCCGGCACCTCCGGCGTTCATCCATTCTGTAAAAGGCGCTGCAGCGTCCTGACAGTTTACGGCCTCACGAATGACCGCATCAACCCTTCTGGAGGATAGCAGGACGTTCCATCTCCTTCTGCATACACACCTCTGCGGTGGATGCAGTATCAAATGGAAGACGTCTTGTGGTTCATTGGTCTCCTGGTCCAGCCACCTTGACTACTAGAAGCCGTTCCTCAAGTCTGGGCCGAAGGCGAACATCGTCCGAGCTTGTTCCGACCAGTGTATCGTTGACAATCTGCTGTCAGCGCTATACGCGGTCAGCGGATTTAACGACCTGAACCTTGCTGCGTTCTGTGCTTCGCCTTTTGTGCAACCACAAGGAATGTGGATCTGTGGACCCGGCGGTTATATTCCGCGAACCGGACGATGAGTTGACTTTCATTCTCCACTCGACACGGGACTAGATTTGTTCTGTGATACTTTGTGATGCTTGTTTGAGAAACAAGTCATCTCCTTACGAAGGATTCTCGTCTGTCTCTGTCTCATAGACCGTCTCTTGTCGCGATCATTGGTCCATTTAGCGATCAGCTCTACTGTGTATTCAAGAATATGCCCAATGGGCCGTGTTCATGATGGGACGAGTTCAGCCTCATTGAGAAGCGCAAGGTCGAAGATACTCTCGCGATTGGATTTCTCGTATGCTACTAATAGGCGTGCATGATCGTGGTTTTCGACACGAGCGCAGAGGGTTCTTGGCACGTGTTGTCAACTAGAGGTATCATCCCCAGATATATATCTGCAGTCCATCATCAGTCCATCACCTAGCTGAGACGATCGCGAAACATCCCGTACGTCGCTCGTTTCAAGACCTTTGATGAACTCCACCGATGATGATGCAGAACCTTTCTCAGCCCCAAACTGTCACCTGTTCGAGCTCCTTCTGTCGCATCATTCAGTGCATTGACGATGAGCCGCATCGCCACCACTCCTTTCGATAGGTCAGATGCGGACGTCATACTTCGTGCAGCCGACCTCGTGGAGTTCCGCGTCCACAAAAATATCCTGGCGATATCGTCCTCATTCTTCGAGACCATGTTCAGTCTGCCACAGTCACGCCAAGAGGTCGGGAAGGCTCTCCCGGTGGTGCCAGTAACAGAGAGGAGTGCCACGATTGATACACTTCTGCGGATCATCTATCCTGTCAGAAATCCATTCATCGCTTCCGTGAAACTCGCACACGATACGCTCGAGGCTGCGCTCAAATACGATATGGTGGTAGCGGCAGATTATACGAAGCAAGAATTGTCGGGATTCATCTACACGGAGCCGCTTCGTGTCTTTGCCATTGCCTGTATACATGGTCTCGAGAAGATCGCCAAAAAAGCGGCAGACGAGGCGGTCACCAGGGGCACTATAGCTGGTTCGTACGTTCCTGAACTGGAACATATCTCCGCTGCGTGCTATCATAGGCTGTTGCAGTACGAGCGCGTCACCGCCAAGGAAAGGATTTCATTCGAATTTTGCCGTAGCCAGACCACGAAGGAAGACCCCAGCAAACCGAAGGTTACTGCTCCATCAGACGATCACAGCCCGGCATACCTATTCAATGAAGCTGCCGATGTCGAGATCGTCACGTCAGACAAAGTGCGCTTCCGAGTAAACGGTGATATAATCAGCCTCGCCTCGCCTGTCCTCTGCGACAAACTGCTTAAAGCGAGACGCGAGACAAAGCATTATGCACTGCATGGCATTGCCACAGGTCGGACGCGTTCAGTCCTTACCGTACCGGAACAAAGCAGCACGATGAAGGCACTTTTGCAGTTATGTTACCCTTCAGACATGCCAGTTTTGAGCGATCAATCGATCTTGATCTCGGTGTTCTGCGCTGCTAAGACCTACGAGATGAAAAGGGCGGTGGATCTCCTATGGGGGAAATGGTCAGAGTTCACTTCATCCAATCCATTGCTATCATTCTTCATCGCATCATCCATTGAATATCGAGAAGCGACCACACTCGCCGCTAAAGCGCTCCTGTCCAAAACAAGAAGTGAGCTCAAAACAACGTACATCGACTACATGGAAATCGCGAAGGCGGGCCCCTACTATCGCCTCTTGGAATATCACAAGAGTTGCTGTCGAGTGGCTCGTGATCTCCTTTATTCACGATCTAGCCTATCACAGCAGTTTCGAGACAAAGTCAATGCCATGCGATGTCGACACCATACACATGCAGTGTCATCAGTGCCAGCAATTGCTTCATCCTCAGTTGAACCGGATTGGGCTCGTGCATATCTATCGTCCGCTAAGGAGCTTCTGGCTGTCCTGCCAGATGCTTCTGTGGCCAGGAGTGATGCCGTGCTCGGAGAGTTGCTCCTTCAGTACACGACCAGCGCTTGTAGCTCTTGTCGTAAAAAAGCAGGCCTCGCCATTGGCGTATGTACCGCATTGGAAAATGAAATTGAGAAAGCGATCACGAAGGTAAAATTTGAATCTGATTGACTTCGTTATTTTTTCAAGGACGAACGCGTACTTTTTCAGGTCGATACCGCCATGCTTTTCAATAAGTATTGCAGCCCGTTCGGATTGATGCCGAAAAACCACTTTAGCCGCGCACTGTATGCTGTATGAAGGTGAAACCAACATGGTCACTTACGGGTCCATCCCCTTATTTTCTAACGTATGATCTGCTTTCCGTTCATGCCTGTTTGTTTCTCCACCAGCTTGCTGATGACAGCACGGCTTGATATATATTGCATTGCGACGAAAAAATTGCTTATGACGCCGCCCACCTACATACGTGTTTAAGCCAATTCGTCAACTGTCTCGGTCATGACAGTCTACTCAACAGAGGAAAGTCAGCTCTGTTGATTTTAGCAAGAGAGCCGGTACTTTATCTCTGAGCTGGAGTTTTTCAGCCGCCATTAGAGCAGAACACGCATAGAGCCAGGCCTGCGCTTACTTTTTGTTCTGCCTTAGCGAACTCTTTCTAAGTGTCCGACATTACTGTATACACATCGATACAAGATAGTGGCACCTGCCTCCTCAAATACACCGCCGTCATTCGTCTTCGACCTACTAACATCCGCGCGACTGCGGGTCTCTCTCCACGCTCAATAGGCCACCGAAGACGCCGTCAGACATCCTGCAGACAGCCTTTAACGCGCGTCGACAACATCTGCGTTTACGCAGGTCCGACCTTGCGGCCCCGTTGCACTTTGTGGACATGGCCGACATGCTATAGCGTCCCAATGCAAGGGGCCTCCAGCTGGAGCACTGGATAGAGAACGGTAGGATGCCGCCGTGCGCGCAGGAGAACGACCACTGGCACGCGCTGATGTGTGTGCATGTAGATGGTGCGTGCATGTTCTTGGTCCCCAGTTCGCGCGCACACAGCTCAAGGAGAGCGGGTGCCTGCCGCCCGTGTTGAAGGATTCTGATGGGATGTCTGATGGGCCCAGCTGACTGGAAATACACACATTCGACTTTGAGGGTCACATATACACACATTCGACTTTAAGGGTCACATGGGAGACGAAGATCGAGGCTGGGGATGAATATTAACCGGTCCGCACTGTAGGCCCCCCCGATGCGAGAGAATTCTGGCTGGATCACCGAGTAGAAAATCGTTGGGTCCCGCCGTGCGCACAGGAGATCCAGGCCCCCGGCATTCACTGATGTTACTGGACAGTCCGCAAATGTGCCCGAGCTGCGGATTCGCGCTTGCGCAGATAGAGGTGAGCGAGTGTTTATCGTCGATGGAGGAGTGTGTTGATGGGACGATTAGCGCTGGTAGTTGTGCTGTGTGGGCTGATCAGGAACTACGCGTCCGAAGAGGGAGGTTGGTTTCGAGGTCGTTCCCGAGGTAAAGATGGTGAACGAGCGGACGCAGCTTGTAGGAGAGGACGGTGTAAGGTTTTCTTCGCAGTTCGCCGGTTGGAATCGTTCGCTGAGAGAGGTTCCTGCGCCTCAAGGAGTTTCTTGGTGGAGATGCAAGTGGTGAGTTCGATGTGCCCGTATTGAATCATTCGCTGAAGTCGTACACCCTCCCGCAACTTCGAACTAGCCCCACAAAGCCACCACCGCTACCATGAAGACGACGAAATGGCGCGAAAGACGTCGCTTGGAGAACTCCGACCAAGACCGCCTAGCTGCTGCCGAGATCTTGTAGGTCGATTCCAACAGATAGCGTGTACTTGAGAGCTTGTGAATGGGGAATGTAGCAGTCGTGAGATGAGCGATCGCTAGTACTAGAGCAGCTAGTTTAGAAGAGGCGGAGATGAGATGGAGGATAGAAATGTTTGAGTTTCGCGATGGCGACGGTGGTATGCGGAAAACAGGACGCTGGGATATGTTATTAGTCGCGTGCGATGTACATGGAGTAGGGGATTGTGGAAGAAACTATGGTGCGTAGCCAAGAGCGTGCAGGGCCGCACGACTCTTCGGAGAGCCGAGGATAGAAGCCTTCGCGATCGACTTGAGTGTGCCCTTCATCCTGCCAGAGTGGAAACAAGACCATGAATCCGAGAAGCATCTGCTGAAGATACAACGGCCGCGATGATCAAAAGTTCCTGAAATACCGCGGTTTCCTGAATGTGGCGCTATAGTTCCAATATCGTGACGCAGGTCAATGCGTGGATCTAGCGCATAATGAGAAATACTCACCAGAAGATACCTCGCTTGGTTAGTCGTGGGAATAACAGTGCAAGTTGCTGCTTCCACTCCCTCTCGGCCACTCTAACTGGCCGACCGCAGTCAAAGGTGCCTTTGTGATGGATCTCAGGAACTCCTGGGTCCGCTCTCGCCTAACCCGTCAGGGTTCTTTAGCTTAAGTGGAGGAGTAAAGACCAACTCGAAACTGAGGGGTAGGCCTCAGCTCGAGCGGATATATATATACAAGAGGGGCCAGACCCCTGGTACCGGGTGTAAGACCCTGCGTACCCTAGGTTTGTAATAATACATCATTATGGTGTGATATGGCGTGCTCAGGCCTAGTGGAGTCCGTCTAAGTCTAGGGGTGTCTGTGGAGTCCAGACCTATGATGTCACTATGACGTAGGGTCACGTGACTGGTACATGTCCGGGGGATGTCCGAGTGGCGTGGGTATACTAAGATATACACGTGGAGACGTAGTGGTACATTCTATATATGGTAACTAGGTGGATAAATAATGGTCCGTGGGCGCTTGCGACTTGTGGCGCGGAAAAACCGTGACAGTATCCCCCCTCCAGGCCGAAGTGTCCTCACGAGGCTTGAATTCTAGTCGTAGATGCGTGGGTGTACGGCTTGTAGGTTCCATTTGGTTTTGGGTATCGGTGTCCGAGGACGCTCTGGGTTATAGGTGGTATAATTGGAGACGTCTTCTTCCTTCATCGGGGTATCTTTGAAATGCATACGTTGCCAGGGTATTGGTGCATCGTCGAGATAATAGTATCCATGAGTGCGTTCTGGGCACTGGATTTTTCCTTCTTCTACGATCCACTGGGCATTGACTGAGTATACAAATAGATGGTTACGCGACTTGGGGGTTCCGACGAACAAGATCGTGTGAACATAGTGGTCTGGGTTCACGAGCCAGATGCAGACGATGTCGAACTTCTCAGGCAGCCCTATTTCTAGGCCGATCGGGGTATCGAGGGGTACGTGAAGTACGACATGGGCTTGGAACTTGCGTTTGTACCATCATATCATTTTGTGATCCCAGTAGATCTTTTCCTTCCATTCTTCCTCTTCTTCTTCCGTCATCTTTTCTCCCTTACTGTCAGGTTCATCGTTGCTTTCTTCGTCTTCGTGAGTGCAAATCCTTTGACCACCGGGTATAGTGAGGAGATTAGGCGGCTTTGGCGCCTTGGGATGTAGCTTATGGAAGTTATTAAGCAATAGAATGTAATCCTTTGCTATAGTAGAGCGGGGTATCCAGGTATTCTCGGTGTCATCCTTCCCCTTCCATTTGACCAGGTATAATAGTCCAGTTTTGGACTTTTTGCTGTCAAGAATTTGGCTAATGATAGGGGATTCGCCTTCCGGAACGGGTATAGTAGTATCGTCCTTTTGTACACTGAATTGTGCGGGGTGATAGGGTATTAATAAGGATTCATGGAAGACGGGTGTATATGACGCCAAGCGGGTGAAAGCTTGAGTCTGAAAGCTGACTTCCCGACCTTTTCTACTATACTAAATGGTCCGTAACATTTATCGTCCAGCTTCTTGCTTGGTCGAGTGGTCGTAATATTAGTTCCTTCTAATAGTACCAGATCGCCCTTGGTATAGGCTGCGTGGTCTGGGTATTTGCCATCGTGGTACTTCTTCATTATACCTTTTGCTTTGGTAAGGTGATTAGTCGCATCCTTGGAAAGTTCCTCCATCTCTTTCGCCCATTCTTCGGCCGATTGGTTATGGGGTTCTTTCCTGGTTTCGACTCCCGTGTAGGGATGGTATCCATGCATAAGGTAGAATGGGGTATAGCCAGTGCTTGCCTGTCTATGGTTTCAGTATGCGAACATAGCGAGGGGTATCTTGGATGGCCAGTCGTCCTGTCTATAGGAAGTATATATCCGTAAGTAGGTTTCTATTTTCTGGTTCATCCGTTCCGTCTGCCCATCCGTTTGAGGGTGGTAGGCAGTAGAAGGATTTCCCTGGACGCCCAACTGTTGGTATACATCCTTAGTAAATGAGGATACGAACTGTGGTCCCCTGTCCGACCATATCCTTTCTGCTAGTCCGTGTGCCGACATTACATGTTTAATGTACAAGTTCGCATAGTCCTTCGAGTTAATCGACTCCGTGCAAGGTATAGCTATGAAGTCTTTTGACTTCAAGTCTACAAATACAAGGATGGAGTCGTACCCGTCTACGGTAGGTAATTTTACAATAAGGTCCGTGGAGATGTACTGCCAATTGTGGTCTGGAATGGAATTTGGTTCCAATGGTGCTGATCGATGTTGGCGGTTAGGTTTGGCCTTTTGACAGGTCCCACAACCTTTCACATACGCCGTAACATCTTTGATCATCTCCGGCCACCAGTACGATTGCTTAATTAATTCCATGGTCCTTTCTATTCCTGGGTGTCCCATGAACGCGGCATCATGGTGGGACTGTATTACTTTGCCGATTATTTCTTGATTATTTGGGATTATGAGAATTTCACCCCCCTCCAGAGTGTGCCGTCCTCGGCTGACTCGAGCTCCTTTTGAGGCAAAGTTTTCCATAATAAATACTCGGAAGAATGTATGGCGCAGAGGTCGCGGATGGCGTCTGTCCCTACAACTTTGGTACTCCGGAACAACTCAGCAGGTAATACGACCTGATTATCCAAGTGATCCATACCGTCGTCATAGTCTGGTTGTCTGCTAAGAGCGTCTGCTGCGCTGTTTTTCTTGCCTGGGATATGATGGAGTTCGAAATCGTATTCAGCGAGGAATGACATCCAACGTGCTTGTCGGGGGTTGATTTTCTGGGGTTTCCTAAAATATGTCAGATTAAGGTGATCAGTGAAGATCTGTACAGTATGCTGGGCGTGTATTAAGTAGTATCGCCATTCCTCTAAGCAGTCTACAATCACGAGAAGCTCCCTATCGTACACTTGATAGTTCTTCTCAGCATCCTTGAACGACCTACTATAATATGATACTGGTACCCAAAGATTATCCTGCTTCTGCATAAGAACTGCCCCTAGGGCGAACTGCGAAGCATCTACTTCTACCATAAACGGGTCCTCATCCGTAGGTATGTGTACAATTGGGGCCGATGTAAGGAGGTCCTTGAGACCTTGGAAAGCACTTCGTTCAG